GGTGGAGGGTTGACTAAAGAAGGGAAGGCCCTCAACGAGTTGGATTGACACATGGCTGCAGTGATGGGCTCAAGTATAGCAAGGATCATGGAGGTAGGTCAGAACCGGGTGGTGTTTTCGTTCTGCTGTGCATAGGGTCGCTATGAGTCGGAGACGACTTGAGGGCACGTAACAACACAACAACAACATTTTTTCATTAGCTTTTACATTTATAGATGGAATATATTTTTTAAAGCATAATCAAGAGTTTATTACTTTGTTTAATTCTTGGCAGTGACTCAGAGTTTGAGAGTCGTTGCAATCTCTAGAATCTAGACACAAGATAGTTAACTGATAAATCAAAAATAATTACTGTTACCTAAGAATCCTGAAAATTTCAGACAAATGTTTCTTTCCTGATACTTTTATTAGAAAAATTTGAGTTTAGTATTGTACTTCACTTGTGCAAAGATTTATTTGGCAGACTGTAGTTAGACCTTGTATGATGACAGCATTAAATACTGTTGAAAATAACTTAAATCTCATAATTTTCACATTTTTGGTTTTTTCTTTGGAAATACATAATACATGAGATGGTTTGCTTTGTTGATGCTCAATTGGAGAGTAATTATTTTTTAAGTAGCGAATTAAAAAGGAGTGATGAACTTCACTAAAGTTTGTCATTGTAAAAGCAGATCATGTAAAGTCGTTCTTACTAGTTGGTGTTCATCCTCCCTTTTTTTTTTTCTTTCACGTTTTATGTTTTCCATGTATTAGGATCAGTCAGGAAGTAAGTTAAATACAAGGAGTAGCATGGACACTTTTCGAATGTATAATAATATAAAAACAATTAGAAAACTTAAGTAGAAAATGGAAACATCTTATTTATACACAATTTTCAGAATGCAGTAGGAATGAATTGAGCCTGAGCAGACCAGTGTTTACAATGGGGCCTTCTTCCCAGCCCCACTGTCCACCTTTAGAGCCTCTTGTAGCAAATCTGCATTGCATCTTTCTAGAAATGACTCAGAGTTCTATTTTCAAATTTTATTTAAGTGAGATAAAGCATACATAGCCGATAGGATTGTTTCTGACTCCCATTGTAAATACTCAGTTAAATATTGGCAGTTAACAACTTCTCCTCCTCTTTTACCATCTCCATACTCAGTAGCAGTTATCAGTCAAATCTCCATCTGAATGTGTGATTGTTTTTTCCAACAGATATATAAATTTTATTTTGATTTGGGTAAAGATTTACAGAGTAAATTCACTTTTCATACAGCAGTTCACATATATTTTGTCTCATGTCATTGACCAAAATTTACAATGCAACAGCTCCCCTCCCACTTCCTCCCCATAGTTACCTCTTGCCAGTGTCCATCCCTCCATACTCTT